AAAAAAAAAAAAAAAAAAAAACTATTTTTCCTACTAGGGACTGAAACCAGGCATGCTTTACCACTGAGCCACATCCCTAGCCCTTTTTATGTTTTATTTTGAGACGGGGGTCTTGCTAAGTTGCTGAGGCTGACTTTGAACTTTCCAACCTCCTACCTCAGCCTCCCCAGCCAATGGGGTTACAGGCATGTGCTCCCACCCCCAACACTTTTTTTTTTTTACTAGAGTCTCCTTAAATTGAAGCAGCTGTCCTTTAATTTGCCATCCTCCTTGCCTCAGCCTATCATGTTGCTGATATTACAGGTGTGCACCACCACACAAGACCTAAAGTAAGTTATTTCTATTCCTTTATATTCCTTTGAGTATAAAGTACATGTACAATTTTTAAAATTACTTACTACAAGATCAAAAAAAACATCTTAGCTGGGTGCAGAAGAGTAAGCCTGTAATCCCAGCAGCTCAGAAGCCTGAGGCAGGATGATCTCGAGTTCAAAGTCAGCCTCAGCAGGGGCTGGGGTTGTGGCTCAGTGGTAGAGCACTTGCCTAGCATGTGTGAGGCCTTGGGTTCCATCCTCAGCACCACATAAAGATAAATAAATAAAGGTATTGTGTCCAACTACAACTGGAAAATATTAAAAAAAAAAAAAAAAAACAAAGCCTCAGCAATGGGTGAGAGGCTAATCTACTCTGTGAGACCCTGTCTCTAAAATACAAAAAAAATATAGGACTGGCAATGTGGCTCAGTGGTTGAGTGCCCCTGGCTTCAATCCCTAATAACAAACAAGCAAAAAATGTTAGCTGAAAATCTTGAGATCTAATAGGTCACATGTAACTATGATTTTAGATCCATAAAGCCAACAAATATAAAGACCACACACTTCTTGATTTCCATGTTCTAATGAGAAATGACTTAAAGGTGGAAATTTATTCCATATCCATTTATTTTACAGATTAGTTATAAGAATTCTTTAGTTTTGCCAATACTTTAGTCTAAATCAGAGTCAAGCTATTCATGTTGATTTTAATCTTAAAATTACTACTACTTTCTATTTTTATGCTCCAATTTTAATTCTCTTTAAAGAAATATGATGTGAATTATAATTACATACAGAGACTGGGGATGTAGCTCAGTGGTACAGTGCTTGCCTGTATGTGCAAGGCCCTAAGTTCATTGCTCAACAAGGCAAGAGGAGGCTGTAATTTAAATGTACTATCCCCCTTGTAATACTGGTAAGAATTGTACTCATTTTATTTATTTAAAAAAAAGGGGGGGCTGGGGAGGTGGCTCAAGCGGTAGCGCGCTCGCCTGGCATGCCTGCGGCCCGGGTTCGATCCTCAGCACCACATACAAAGATGTTGTGTCCGCCGAAAACTAAAAATAAATAAATAAATAAATAAATATTTAAAAAATTCTCTCTCTCTAAAAAATTAAATAAATAAATAAATAAATAAATAGCAGGCTGGGGAGATAGCTCAGTGGTAAAGCACCTGCCTAGCATGCAGGAGGCCCTGAGTTCAATCCCCATCACCATATAAAAAACAACAACAATAAAAAATGACGTTAAAAAAAAAACCTGCGGACTGGGATTCTAGCTCAGTGATAAAGTGTTTGCCTCACACGTGTGAGGCGCTGGGTTCGATCCTCAGCACCACATAAAAATAAACAAGTAAATAAAATAAGGATATTATGTTCATCTACAACTAAAACATATTTAAAAAGAAAAGAAAAACCTGAGGATTTGCCAAGGTCAACAATTAGCAAGCAGCAGAGTGTGGGTTCAATCCCAGATTTATTAACCTCAAAGCCAATACTTCCACTTGACCACAATTATCTCCTTAAAAGATTAACACAGCTCAACAGCAGAGAATCTAGTCTCACCGAAAGTTCACGTGTCTATTCTGAGACATGCATCACTAAACTACCTACAATTCAGGTAATGAAACAGAAATGAAAAGGATCTTTCTGCTTCATTTAAACTAGGGCAGGTTTACTGACAGGTAAGAAAGAGATTGGACAAGGCTTGCCTCAACATGTCTTTCCTAGACCTCTATATCCATACCGTTTTCCCAGTCTTCTTGTTTTTTGTCTCCGCCCCCCTCCCCACCCCCGCCGCCAGGCACGTACATCTACTATACAAGGCAATGTCCGAGTATGGGTGCTGGGTGCTTTTCAGAATCGCACTTTTTAAAGAAAATTTGTACCAGATATGTATCTAGCTGGAAGTCTTTCCAAACATCTGAAGTGTCATTTAGGGGCAACAAACCCAGTTCCACCCTCTTTCTTCTACACCGTGATGCTTGCCCACTTGGGGGACACTGATCCTGTAGGACGCTGAGGCAAGGGAACAGTAAAGGAAGGAGCGGGGGAAGCGCACGGAAGTTGGGTGGAGGGAGGTCTCATTACCCACTCTTCTGCCCCAGCTCTACCAAGGGCGGCTCCACTGTGCTGAGCAGAATCAGAACCCCCACAACCCCTGAAACCTCGCTGTCTCAGAGGGATGGGTAGGAGAATCCGGTAATGGAAAGCATGAGATTGCCCAAGCCACCCCGCCTAGTCCATACTCTCCTTTTGGCCCTAGATGATGCTCCCCCTTTTCAAAGCGAGCCTTCAGGTGGCAAACTCCGGGTCAGCACTGGCCAAAGTCTTCTGCCTAAGAAGGGGCACCTTCTCCGTCGGTCCCTAGCCCGCTACCCGAAACTATCCGCCGGCAGTGTCTCCCAGCCCCTCCATTCCGCCCACGCAACCCTCCACACGCCGTCTGCGCCCCACCCGGGATCCCAGGGTCCCCCTCCCCGGCCCCGGTAAGAGCCACCCATCACCCCCTCACTCTCTCCCTCTCTCTCATACACACACACACACACACACACACACACACTCCCTCAGACTCCAGCCTCCCGGACCCCGTCGAAGCCAGAGCAAATACCTGGAACGGGCATGCTCTGGGGCTCAAAAGGAGCGGGCGCGGTCCCCTCCCGGAGGCTCCGAGTGCTTCTCTACCCACCCGCAGCTGTAGCTTCTCTTTCCCAAGAGCGGGAGGGAGGAGAGGAGGCGGAGGGAAGGGGGAAAGTAAGGAGCCGAGGGGCGGCAGCAGCCGAACCGGAACCACTAGCACTGACCCCTCCCACGGTCAGGAGCCCTCCGAGTACCCTGACGCTCTTGATAGGACAAACCTAGAGCAGGCACCGAGAAATTGACACCACCACTTCCGGGTCATCCCCTCGGCAGCCCCTCCTTAGCAACAGCGTGGGGTTGCTAAGCGGAAGTGCCTCCAAAGCACCCACCCACCCTCAGATCTTTTGGGACTACCAGGTGGTAGGCTGTGAGAGTTCTGCTCTGTTTTGGTAACACCCTCTTACCTTCTACTCAAGAATTTAGTTCGAGGAAATGCCACGCTGCCAGAGGCAGWAAGCCCATGCCGCTTTTCCCTTCAGCCATTCTGGGTCATCAGCCCCCACCAACTGCATACACCAGCTCCCTTCTGCTCTGAGCCCCAGGCTGACTAAGTGGCTCCTCTTAAAGCTCTTCTTACTGGTCCCTTGCGGGAGTTACTTTCTGGAGATTTAGCAAGCATCTCCCTCTTGTGGATTTCCCTTGTGTTTCAGCTGGATTTTTAAAATCTTCAATGTGAAAGCTTTTTGATAGATCTCGTTCTCCTGAAGCCAAATGGTGAGCAAAGTTTTGTCTTCACCTTTTTTTTTTTTTAAAGATTGCGCGTGTTTGTTTATGGTCTAGAAACAACCTTGCTAAATTAAAGGGGAGGGGAGAGAATGGATGTAAATCGACTGGAGTGAGTTTTGTACTTAAAAGAGCAAAGCAAAAGGCCAAAGGAACCCCATAATCAAGTTTGGTAATGAGAAACATATCTAATCCTCCACTCCTACACTCCATACCTACACTGTAGGCAAGAAATATTTCAATAAGACATCTCATTTATTCTATATTAGGGTAGTTTGGGGTTTAAAAATAATCCTTTTTATAAAAATGACTATCAGGCGCGGTGGCACACTCCTGTAATCCCAGAGGCTCAGGAGTCTGAGGCAGGAGGATCCTGAGTTCGAAGCCAGGCTTAGCAAAAGCGAGGTGCTATGCAACTCAGTGAGATCCTGTATCTAAATGAAGTACAAAATAGGGCTGGGGATGTGGCTCAGTGGTCGAGTGCCCCTGAGCTAAATCTCCGGGCCCCCCACCCCTAAGAAAAACCCTCATCATTATAGTAATTAAATATTCAGAGAAAATGAGTAAAAATCTTGTCTTTCCTATCTTGAATAGGTCTGCTTAGATGCAGTTCAGCAAGAGGGTAACTTCTGAATTTTTCTCTTCATCAGCAATGAATACATTTGCAATTGCAGTCTTCAGTTTTGTGGGTCATGATAACCTCAATCACTAATATTGTATTGTTGTCCACCTGAGCTAGGACGGACAGGAAATAGCTTTGGTAACTTGGAAGAAATTCCAGGTCTATTGGGTTCGGGAATGCATGACACAGTGTTAAATTGATTTACCTAGGCAGTCAATTCAGCAAAGCCAGTTAGGAAATTACTTCAGGCTCAAATGTCTCAGTACATCTAAAACATTCCCACTCCTGCCATCTACAAATGCACATTTGAGAACACACACACCCTACTTCAAAGCATATCCAGTAATTAATTATTCTTTAGAAACCTGATTGAAGCTGTTGTAGTGGTGCATGCCAGGGAGGAGAATGGCAAATTCAAAGCCCGCCTGAGCAATTTAGTGAGACCCTGTGTGTGTGTGTATATATATATATATATATAAAATGATCATATATATGTACACACATATGTACGTATGTGTAGTGTGTGTGTATTCCCAATTCAATAACATTCCGTTTAACATCCACTTCTAAAAGACAAAGCAAAAAATATAATATACAATCCACAATCATCAGGTATCAGTTTGGAAGTTGATAAAATCAGATTTTGCATTTGGAAGGAATAAAATTGAAACATTTGGTCAGGCATTAATTCAGGAAGCACACAAATGGATGTGTATTGTGAAAATAAGTAGTCTTTTATTTCAAATTTCAGAAAACATGCCTATTAAACATGGTTAATTTTGAAAATTGACAGCTTGTCAGTATGCAAAAAGTGTGCTAGGAAAGCAAGAACATCAATTAACAAGTAGTATTATACCCACTTCTTCAGTTAATCTTGAGAAATGCAGTGAATGCTCTAAGGACTTTAGACACAGCTGTGGGTTTATGGCATGATTTGCCTGTCATATTTTATTGATTCCCAACTTTAAAGGTATAAATATAAAGGGTAATATTTTATGATACTGAATCAAATATCCAAGAAAAATTCCTCCCTATTAATGTGGCTTATCGAATCTTTTTTTCCTTATTCTATGTTAGAATTTTGTCTTTTTGTTGTTTTAACTGTCCTTAATTTTTTCCACATCCATTTAAATTTACTCAAGAGGGCATTTTTGGCCCCCTTTCCGAAAAATGACAGAAACTAAATTTAATTAATACTGATTTTTTTTTCATGTGCAAAACTCTAACTCTGCTTTTTAAAGCAAATAAAGGGAATAAAAACATAGCATAATTTCAATGCCCAAATGTCAGTATAAATGGCATCAGTACAAAGATGTAAACAAATCTCAAATACAGGACATTAGTAATTGGAACATCATGCACTGATTTAATGTTAGCAAGAAGAAGAAGCTTTATAACAGGTAAAAGAACTAACATAATGCATTAAAATTGAATATTAACCTAAGTAACCGTAATTTTACAAATTCTCCAATTTCATGACTTGCTTTTGAATAAACTTTAGCCTCATTTTTTAAATCAAATGCCTACTCATCAAAGCTTACTGAACAAACATATCTATGCAAATTTATACCCTAAAATACCAGAGTAAACAGGAGACATTATTCAAAGATGAATAAGTTCTATTCTTTTTCATCATCTGTGTGGTCAGGTTGCAAAGGACATGCTCTGTAGAAAGAACAGAGAACTTTAGTAGTCACCTAAGTGTCAATTCTTTTAAAAAATTAGAAAAAAAAATAGTAAAAAACATACAGAAATCAGGAACAGTAATTTTATTTATTTGTATTTTAAGTCCTTTTTTCTTAATTTGTAGGAATAATAATTAATAATGTAGTGGCTGTGGTCAAGTGCCAGAAATGAAAGAAAATTTAACTTCATTAATTGACAAATGTGTATAAATTTCAAGTACTAGTGCAACACAATTTGTAGCAATTTCTTTGCCTCTTATTTTGCAGAATCAATATTTCCCATTTAGAATATGTTGCGATTTTTATTTACAGTGTCTCATTCCTATAGCATTTTTTTAAAATAGAATATAATCTATCAGTGAAAACTTCATGATAGATAGGTGCAGTGTTGCAATTGCGTGATCCCAATTGCTTGGGAGGTAGAAGCAGGAAGTTCAGGAGTTTGTGGACAGCATTAGCAACTTAGCAAGACCCTGCCTCAAAATAAAAATATAAAGTGTGGGCTGGGCGGGGGTTGTGGCTCGTTGGCAGAGTGCTTGCCTAGTGTGTATGAGGCACTGGGTTTGATTCTCAGCACCATATAAAGATAAATAAAGGACCATCAACAACTAATAAAATATTTTTAAAAAATATAAAGTGTGGGCATGTAGCTCAGTAGTAAAGCATGCTCCCTAGGTTCAATCTCCAGTATTGAAAGAAAAGAAAAAACCAAAACTTTGTAATAATCCTGGCCAATAACACATGCCTATTATCCCAGCTACTCGAGAGACTAAGGCAGTTCCAGGCCAGAACAACTTGGTGGCACCCTGTTCCAAAATAAATAAAAGGGTTGAAACCCAATAGTAGAGTTGTTGTGTTTGTTGTTGTTATTTTGTTTTGTACCAGGGATTGAATTCAGGGATACTTAACCACTGAGCCACATTCCCAGTCCCTTTTTTTTTAATGAGGTAACTTTTTTTAAAATTTTATTTTATTCATTTATTTTTTTAATTATTTTTTAGTTTTTAGGTGGACACAATATCTTTACTTAATTTTTATGTGGTGCTGAGAATCGAACCCAGTGCCTTATACATGCTAGGCAAGCCCCATCATTTATTTTTTATATGCGATGAGGATTGAACCCAGGACCTCACATGTCCTAAGCAAGTGCTCTGCTACTGAGCCACAACCCCAGCCCCATTTTTTATATTTTATTTAGAGACAGGGTCTCACTGAGTTGCTTAGGCTGACTTTAAACTTGGAATCATCCTGCCTGTAGCCTCCCAAGCCACTGGGATAACAGGCATGCAGGGCACCCAGTTTAATAGTAGACCTCTTGCCTAGCATGTTTGAAGGTCTGGGTTCAGTCCCCAATACCATTAAAAAAAAAAAAAAAAGAAAGTAATAATAAAAAGCAAAAAATTAAGCAGTTCATTTGAGCACAGGAAACAGCAAATTTGTTAACTTATGGTTGTCATAGTTTTTAAAAAATAATTTACATTATCCCAAAGCCATTCATATTTACTCTTTTTATAAAGAAAAAGTCAATTAAGAATTTAATCATAAATCAAAAATTTTATTTTAGAGATAGAAAAGATTTGTGACACCTATTTAAAGATTTTAGTTTTCAAATTAGATCCAGTAAGCCTGAATGATCATAGTACTGGATACCAAAAGAAGGAAGCTAAAATGAAGGTAACCAGACATTGTATAAGATTATCACTGCTTGTGTAGGGATGCATGCATATACCTCCAGTGACTCTGGAGGCCGGGGCAGAAACTTGCAAAGTTCAAGACCAGCCTGAGCAATTTAGTGAGGCTGTAAGGAATTTAACAAGACCCTATCTCAAAAGAAAAATAAAGAGGGCTAGCGATGTAGTTCAGTGATAAGTGCCTGTGGGTTCAATTCCCAGTACAAAAAAAAAAAAAAAAAAGATGATTATCATTGCTTCATATATCAGTAGGCTGTGCTGGAATTTAAACCAAGTTAACTAACGAATGCTATTATGACCTAAACTTCCTTTTCATACGGTCTAATTTACTTAGGCATCATAGTTCTGTTCAAGATTTAAGCAGAAGCTGGGCATGGTGGCACACTCCTATTATCCCAAGGGTTTAGGAGGCTGAGGCAGGAGAATTTGAACTCAAAGCCAGCCTCAACAATTTAACAAGGCCCTAAGCAATTTAGCGAGATTCTATATCAAAATAAAATATAAAAAGGGCTAGAGATGTGACTTGATAATTAAGTGCCCCTGGAACAAAAAAAAAAAAAAAAAAGATTTAAGCAGATATTCTCTTGATTCTGACTCTATGTGCAATAGATGGGAGTTTACCCTGCCTTTAGGAGAAAATAAGACCACAAGAGTAACCATATTTCAAAATATTACTTTGAAGGTTCATATTCCTTCTAATAAACTATTTCAATAAAGGAACAATTGTAACTGTCTTAAACAAAGTCAAATCTAAGAAAGGGGCCTAAAGAAATAATGTAAACCTGTATTACTACATTTATGGCACAGATCTTATTATACCTTGGATTAAAGTTGTTTGAGAATATATGTATAATTTCTTTCCATATGGTGGAAAACAAATATAGGTTTATTCCTGTATTATAGCCAAAATTGGCTGTCTTGCCAAATTATTTTATTTCCCTAATGTTAAGTCAAACAATTCAAAAGGATTAAAGTATATTCTAGAGGTAATCTTGACTACTACACCTTGTTAATTTAGAATAAGAAAGAACAAGGAAGAATGATAGCAATGAGGAGAAACAAAAAGAAAGGATCATGAAAACAAACTTATTATTATTGGTGATTTTTTTTTTTTTTTTTTTTGTGGGTAGTGGTACTAGGAATTGAACCCATGGCCTAATGCATGCAAGGTAAGCACTCTACTGAGCTATATCCTAGCTGGAAAACAAACCTATTAAAAAGCTTGGTGGCTCATGCATATAATCCCAACTACTCAGGAGGTTGAGACAGGAGATATCCAAGTTCAAGGCCAGTCTCAGCAACTTAGTGAGGCCTTAAACAACTTAGAGAGTCCCTGTCTCAAAAAAAGGGGGGGGTGGAATGTAGCTCAGTAATAAAGCACCCCTGGATTCAATCTCTAGTACCAAAAATTTTTTTTTAAAGTTTGATGGTTGATTTTTATTGAAATAAATTATGTGCTTGCTTCAGCCACACATATACTGAAATTGGAACAATGCAGAGAAGATTAACATGGCCCTACACAAATATGACATGCAAATTCAAAAGTAAATAAAAAAACAATCATAATAGTGTTATTTTGTTTTGGAGGGTATCAGGAATTGAGCCCAGGGGCAGTCAGCCACTAAACCACACCCCCAGCCCTACTTTGATTTTATTTAGGGTCGGGGTCATACTGAGTTTAGCCTCTCTCCATTGCTGAGGCTGGGTTTGTCACCGAGCCTGGCCCTAAGCCCTTCTTAAAACATTTTGAGAAGGGTCTCACTAAGTTGCTGTGGCTGGCCTCAATCTTATCTTCCTGCCTCAGCTTCCTGAGTAGCTGGGATTGCAGGTGTGCTCTTCTCTAGCAATCATTTTGTTCTCTTTCAGCCCTTTATTTTTATTTAGTTTGTATTCAATGTAAATCAATTCAAAACACAATGTACAATCCATACCAGATGTACAGTGTTAACTATGAAGCAAGAGCAAGTTTTGTTCACATATACCACAGGTTGAGATCTGTTGGATCTGGTAGATTCTAAAAATGGCTTAAAACTTTTTAAAACTGCTGTAGCTATAATGAATATTGGAACAGCTAAGGGTCAATGTATGACTGTGTGAACCAGATTTCATGCAGTGTCTGTTCCTAAAAAGGTTATGTACATAGAGGCAGTTGTAAAAGTTTTTCTTTCTAGAATAAAGTCCAGTTAAGGCTTAGGACTAAGTCTTAACTACCTAAAAGTATAAACTAATACAGAAAATGTTCCAAATGTAGCTATTCTGATCTACAGAAGTTTTYGTAAAGTATTTACAGAAAGAACATTTAAAAAAATTGTGAGCTTAATGGGATTTCCAATCTTCATTTCCCAAATACATTATTTTTGTCTACTTCATGTTTGCCTCTTATTTTCAAGATTTATCAAATATGTCTTTGAGTCATAAATTTTCAATTATATGCAAATATAATTATTCAATATATGCAAAATAAAAAGTAATGTTGTAAGATGGGTTTAAGTCAGTGTACTTCTATTCTTCTGAATGAAGTATGGTAGCTAATGAATGACACTTTTATTGAATGGTTACATGTGCTAAGAAACCCTTACCAATTATTTTAAGTATACATGCAACTCTTACTCATTCTTGGATTTGGAATAGATTCCAATCTATCCTTTCCCTGGCACATGTCAATTAATACAAAGAAAGTTAAATGCAATATCAAGCAGGAATGTAGCTTAATGGTAGAGTGCTTGCTTAGCGTTCGCAAGGCCCTGGGTCCAATCTACAGCACCAAAATAAAAATAATAAATAAATAAGAATACGGGCTGGGGATGTGGCTCAAGTGGTAG